GTCCCTGTCGGCCACCCCCTCCACACCCAGTTTAGAACACGACTGAGTACAGAGTCTTTAGCTGTCGCAGCAGCAATGTCCTTTACTGACACGGGTGCCTCCGGCAGTTCCTCAATAGCCAGAACTGAGCAAGTAGGAGCAGGGTCCAAGTCCTGGCCGGGCAGAGGGCAGCGGCTGAGCGCATCAGCGTGTCCAATTGCCTTACCCGGCCGGTGTTCCAAGTCGAATTCATACGCCGAAAGGAACAATGCCCATCGCAACATGCGAGCGGACATAACATTAGGGAGTTGCCGGTCCTGGGCAAAAATCCCTAGCAAGGGCTTGTGGTCCGTTACCAAAATAAAACGTCTTCCAAATAGAAAGTCATTAAACTTTTTAACAGCAGAAACAAGTGCCAAAGCCTCTTTATCAATCTGTGCGTAGTTTTTCTCTGCTGCTGTTAACGACCTGGAATAGAACGCTACGGGGGCCTCCCGTCCGTCCGGCATAACATGGCTCAGAACCGCCCCCACCCCATATGGGGACGCATCAGCAGCCAACACTAGTAACTTGTTCTCATCATAATGTGTCAGCACAGCATCTGATGATAGCAATGTTTTCACCCCCTTAAACGCTCGTTCGTGCTCCGGGCCCCACCTCCACTTGGTGTCCTTGTGCAGGAGGTTATGCAATGGGGCAGCCACCGACGCCTTATGGGGCAAAAAGGCGTGATAGAAATTAAGGAGTCCTAAGAAGGACTGGAGCTCCTTTTTTCCCTGTGGCCGTGGCGCGTGCTGTATTGCGGATACCTTATCGTTTGTGGGGTGGACCCCGAACTCATCCACCCGGAATCCCAAGAATTCAACACTGTGAACACCCACCAGGCATTTAGACCTTTTTACCTTGAGCCCCGCATCGGAAAAACGCTTGAGTACTTCTCTGACTCGATTCAACAATTCATCTTCGGATTTGCCCGCTATTAGCACATCATCAAAATACGGCACCGTGCCGGGCACTCCCCTCAGCAATCCCTCCATGAGACTTTGGAAAATCCCTGGTGCAACGTTCACTCCAAATTGGAGTCGGTTCACTCTGAACGCCCCTCTGTGCGTTACTATCGTTTGGGCTTCAGCGGCCTCCTTTGTTACCGGGAGTTGCTGATATGCTTGGGCTAGGTCGAGTTTTGCGAATATTTTGCCCCCTCCCAGTGACGCTAAAACGTGACTGATGACCGGGACAGGGTACGAATGCTGCTGCAAGGCTTTGTTAATGGTGCACTTGTAGTCAGCGCATATCCGAATTGACCCGTCAGGTTTAATAGGAGTTACTATGGGAGTTTCCCATTTGCCAAAAGGGACTGGTTCCAAAACTCCTTGTTCAACCAACTTATCGAGTTCAGCCTCGATCTTTGCCTTAAACGGAATGGGCACTTTTCTGTACTTAAGGCGGATGGGCCTAACACCCGGATCCAAGTCAAAAGACACTGGGGGACCGTTATACCTTCCCAAACCTCCCCCAAACACTTCAGGAAATTCAGAATATAATACAGCCCATTTATTTTCTACAACACTGTTAACTCCCACAACAGCAATACCCAGAGGGTCAAACCAGTCCAACCCGAGCAGGTTGGTGCGGTTCCCCTCAGCTATTAAGCATGACAACACAGCACATTTCCCTTTGAACTCTACTGTGAACGAATCCCTCCCTGCCAGAGGAATTCGATTTCCCTGGAAATCGGACAAGCGGGTGTCCGCAGCCCGCAACCTCCGTCGACTCCGCGTTGGAAACAGCTTGTGCCACGTTTGTGTTGATAGAACGGTGACCGCCGACCCGGAATCCACCTCCATCTCGCACGGCGCGCCGTCGAGGCAGAGGGTGACGTGGATCTTCTGCTTGCTGTTTGTGCTGCAAATGGTGGCTTCCGATGACAGGCTTCCTGTCATCTGCCGGATGTCGTCTTTCGGTGCGGCTCGGGGACGTTGGTGCCGTCGGGGCGAAGATGCGGGTGGCGACTTGTTCGCTGCTCTGCATACCCGGGCAACATGCCCCCGCTTCCCGCATGACCGGCAGTCAAGGTCTCTCGCCCAGCAACGCTCGCGCCGATGTTTCCCGCCACAGCCGACGCATGCTGAGCCCTCGGTAGGTTTCCGTTGGGTCCGCTTGGACGCTCCCGCCTTTACTGCGCAGACGTCGTCATCGGAGTCGCCGCTTGCGTCGCTGGCCCTCTGTTGGTGGACGCGTTGATCAGCCGTGGCGACCCGTTGTCTCACTTCCCTGGTTGATCTGTCAGCAGCTTCCGCGGCGACAGCCTCAGCATAGGCGATGGCCCACGTTAACGTAGTTCTTGCGAACAGGCGTTGCTGCAGTCGCTCGTCTCTCAGCCCACAGACGAGGCGATCACGGAGGGCCTCCTCCACATTCCCGAAGTTGCAAGGCCGTGTATTTTAAATAAATACTTTAAAAAATAAGGAAAGTGGGAAACCCTCAAAATATTGCTTTCAGTGGCAGTTCTAGGTGAAATTTAATGTAGGCAAAGATCCACCCTCAGACTACATTTCCTTAAGTATTCAACATTATTTCTTCCTTAAATTTAGTAGCAAGCATTGATCAGAGTCATTTATTATGCTGCATCACCGTATTAGGATATTATATAGGCATCAAGTCATAATTTGTTCAGTTACATTTATTCCTATCTGTTTGAATGTTATGCTCCCTAACTTGCTTAAATTAAGGCAGATCATATTTCTATCTAACCAGCCATCATGGTT